AGGATTTTTGTTTTCTTTATGTTGAGGTGTAATCCATACTGAAGGCCATAGTCTTTGATCTTCATCAGTAAGTGCTTCAAGTCCTCTTCCCTTTCTGCAAACTAGATTGTGTCATCTGCATATTGCAGTTGTTAATGAGTGCTCCTCCAGTCCTGATGCTGTATTTTTCATATAGTCCAGCTTCTCGAAATATTTGCTCAGAATACAGATTGAATAAATATGGTGAAAGGATACAACCCTGATGCATACCTTTCCTGAATTTAAACTTCACAGTATCCCCTTGTTCTGTTCCCCTCTTGGTCTATGTACAGATTCCACATGATCACAAGTAAATGTTCTGGAATTCTCATTCTTTGCACTGTTATCCATAATTTGTTATCATCCACACAGTCGAACGCCTTTGCATAGTCAAGAAAACACAGGTAAATATCTTTCTGGCATTCTCTGCTTTCATGCAAGATCCATCTGACATTAATAATGATATCCCTCATTCCATGTCTTCTTCAATTTCTGTCAGTTCCTTGTTGATGTACTGCTGCAGCCGTTTTTGAATGATCTTCAGCAAAATTTTACTTGCGTGTGATAGTAATAATATTATTTTATAATTTCTATATTCTGTTGGATTACCTTTCTTTGGAATGGGCACAAATATGGATCTCTTCCAGTCAGTTGGCCAGGTAGCTGTCTGCCAGATTTCTTGGCATAGATGAGTGAGTGCTTCCCAGCGTTGCATCCATTTGTTGAAACATCTCAATTTGTATTGCATCAGTTCCTGGAGACTTGGTTTTCGCCAGTGGCATCAGTGCAGTTTGGACTTCTTCCTTCAGTACCATCAGTTCTTGATCATAATGCTTCCTCCTGAAATCGCTGAATGTCGACCAGTTCTTTTGGATATAGTGACTATGTATTCCTTCCATCTTCTTTTGATGCTTCCTGCATTGTTCAATATTTTGCCCATAGAATTCCTTCAGTATTGCAACTTGAGGCTTGATTTTTTTTTCTTCAGTTGTTTATCTTGAAAAATGCTGAGTGTGTTCTTCCCTTTTGGTTTTCTAACTCCAGGTCTTTGCACATTTAATTATGATACTTTATCTTCTTGAGCTGCTGTTTGAAACCTTCTGTTCAGCTCTTCTACTTCATCATTTCTTCCGTTCGCCTTAGTTACTGTACATTAAAGAGCAAGTTTCAGAGTCTCTTCTGACATCCATTTTCGTCTTTTCTTTCCTGTCTTTTTAATGACCTCTTGCTTTCTTCATGTATGATGTCCTTGATGTCATCTCACAACTCCTCTGGTCTTTGGTCGTTAGTGTTCAATGCATCAAATCTATTTTTGAGATGGTCTCTAAATTCAGGTGGGATATACTCAAGGTCGTTCTTTGGCTCTTGTGGACTTATTTTAATTTTCTTCAACTTCAACTTGCATGTAAGCAGTTGATGGTCTGTTCCACAGTTGGTCTCTGGCCTTGTTCTGACAGCTGATGTCGAGCTTTTCCATCGTCTCTTTCCACAGATGTAGTTGATTTGATTCCTGTGTATTTCATCTGGTGAGGTCCACATGTATAGTCACCAATTATGTGTTGAAAAAAGGTATTTGCAATGAAGAAGTTGTTGATCTTGCAGAATTCTTTCATGTGATCTCTGGCATCATTTCTTTCACCAAGGCCATATTTTCCAACTACCGATCCTTCTTCTTTGATTCCAGTTTTCACATTCCAGTCACCAGCAATTATCAATGTGTCCTGATTTCATGTTCGATTAATTTCAGACTGCAGACGTTCATAAAAATCTTCAATTTCTTCATCTTTGGCCTTAGTGGTTGGTGTGTAAATTTGAATAATGGTCGTATTAACTGGTCTTCTTTGTAGGTTTATGGATATTATCCTACCACTGACAGCGTTGTACTTCAGAATAGATCTGAAAATGTTCTTTTTGACAATGAATGCAATGCCATTCCTCTTCAGGTTGTCATTGCCAGGATAGTAGGCCATATGGTTGTCTGATTCAAAATGCCCAATACCAGTCCATTTCAGCTCACTAATGCCTAGGATACTGATCTTTATGCATTCCATTTCATTTTTGACAACTTCCAATCTTCCTTGATTCATACTTCATACATTCCATGTTCTGATTATTAATGGGTGTTATCAGCTGTTTCTTCTCATTTTGAGTTATGCCATATCAGCAAATTATGTGTCATGATGGGTCGTACATAAACTGAATTTGAAACAATTTAAGTATCTTGAGACACATTCAGGATATTAAAGAGTAAATGTGTTCATTATAGATTTCACATCTATTTTGTTTTTTAAATGAAATTTTAAAAATTGGCTTTGGATATGTATTTATCAGAATATTTTGTTTTCTGGAATATCTGTGCATAATTAAAACTGTATTGAGGTGGACAAGTGTTTTTCAGTCGGTTTCACATTGGTCTGAATTTTGAATGTAAGCATTTTTCATTATATCACATATACTGTGGTAATAAAAATATTAGAGCTTATTTTTTCTGCTTTTAATTTGTTTAGAAATTGAGAGGATATATATATCAGGTACAGTTGAGGTAGGGGAACAATTTCAAGGCTCTTTTAGCTTTCTGATTTTGTGATTGATATCCTGGTGGCTTTCACTGTACCTCAGTTGTAAATGAGGAAGTCTTTCTGGCATATGATTGTGACTTCAAAATTGTGAATAAATACAAAGAAAATGGTTAGAAAGAACTCTTAACTGTGTAATGTAAAATGTATAGTATTTTAATTATTAGCTCTTTTCATTTCATAATCTTATTTTAGAGAGAAAACTGAAAATGAAGTAAATCTAAACCTCATTCTTATTGTATTTTTTATATTTTTTAGCTTAATAGCTGGTTATTACTACAAACATTTAATTATACATTATACCCAATAACCTTTCCAAGTGAGAATGCAGCGGAATGGAAAAAACTCTTTAAACCATGTGCTTCCCAGAGATTATTCTTGCCAGTAAGTGTTTTTCTTGTTACTTGAGTCTTGCTTTTGCATAGATGGATTTCTGAAGTTTTACATATAAATCTGGTTAAATAAGCAAATACATGTACTATTTTCCTTTTGAACAATATTAGAAAAAAATTTTCTCCCCAAACTACAATAAAAACCACTGTTATATTGTTACCTTTTAACTTATTTAGTTGCTATGAACTGTTTTATCTCTAAGAAGGAATAGAAATACTGAAATCTTAATGGAGCCAAGTCTAATTCCAAGTATCACCTTCAAGTTGCAGCGCTCATTTTAGAAAAATAATTTGAGAAATGAGGTAGTTTGCATCATTAAATAGCCATTTTCATTTTATATAAGCCCATTTACCTTTTCTAACTGATGGTTTATCCTAGACACAAGATTTAAGACGTGAATTCAAAGAGAAGATAGGAGGCACTTACTCAGTGGTGCTCTTCTTTAGTGGTGTTCTCTAGAATGGTGTTAAACCCTTATTATTACTATTTTTTAACATCAAAATATGATTCAGAAGCAAGGTTACCTCTTTCTTTGTAAGTTGATTCCATCTTCAGTTTCAAAGTACATAGTAGTGGTAGGACCACTGTAATGTTTAAAATAGTTATGGTAGTAGGAAAATTGAATTTAAGAAGTTCACAAGCTTCTGGAAAGTATATGAATTATGAGAAAGAACCTTCAGTTATTATTATTAAGTGGATTAAGGCAATTCTTAGCATATTAAGAATACAGTTTACTGAATCCAGGAGGTCAGTAAGATTTAAATTTAAGTTATAATTTTGATAGCTGAGTCTTCCTAGCCTGTATCTTTGTTCCTACACATAATCCCAACCATAAATCCTAGGATTTTCTTCAACGTTTCCGTCATAAAAAGCACACAAATAAGAGATTACAATTGGAGGAAAACCTAAAAAGTTTTAGAAACTTCATGTATGCTTTATATGATTTTTTTCTTCATTTTTATGTTGAGTTACTGCAGTATTACATTTATTTAAACAATATTTGAGTGCCTGTTTTGTGCCAAGTGTCTGTACTGAAGTGCTGACTGTGAAGGAATGAACGGAACAGACAGGTTTCTTGTTCTCCTAGAACTGATTGTCTAATGGGGGAGGCAGACATTGAACAAGTAATCACACAGATGCAGAAAAATGTGTTAAATGAAAACCTTGAGGTTAGGGCTATTTCTCTTTACTTTTGTTCTGCATTATTGAAAAGTTTAGTTGTTGATGTTGTGAAATTAAATTTGCCAGATCATTTAATGATGTAATCTACTTAAATTCCAGATGGAATTTAAATTCTAAATACTTCTCCTTGAAACCTGTCAAATTGTCCTCATACCTCACTGTTATTTCTGTATTTTTTTAACCAGATTTAAGTAAAATGATGCTTTATTTTTCTGAATAATAAACTTTTTTGCTGAGTGTCTCTTCATTTGAAATAGCTGGATGAAAATAACTAATGTTAACTCTTTTATACTCCAAAGGGAACCATAGAAAAATACTGACAACTGATTATTATTTAACCTTGTATCTAATCTCCAGTTGATAGTGGCTCCCAACATTGAACTTGAAGCTTTATGCAGTATCTTCCTAGTCTGCTAAAAATAACAGTAATTTGTAAGCAAAGGCTGTATCATGGTGCAGAAGCAGAATGTTGTTACTAAGTACAGCTCCCCTCACTCCCCCCAAAAACAGACACACTCAGACATATACATGTACCCTTTCTTTTTTAAATTGTACTTTAGATGAAGGTTTATGTAACAAACTTCTCATTAAACAGTTAGTACACATATTGTTTTGTGACATTGGTTACCAACCCTACGACATGTCAACACTGTCCCTTCTCAACCTTGGGTTCCTTATTACCAGCTTTCCTGTCCCCTCCTGCGTTCTAGTCCTTGCCCCTGGACTGGTGTGCCCCTTTAGCCTCATTTTGTTTTATGGTCCTGTCTAATCTTTGGCTGAAGGGTGAAGCTCAGGAGTGACTTTATTACTAAGCTAAAAGGGTGTCTGGGGGCCATAATCTCGGGGTTTCTCCAATCTCTGTCAGGCCAGTAAGTCTGGTCTTTTTTTGTGAGTTAGAATTTTGTTCTACATTTTTTTGCAACTCTGTTTGGAACCCTCTATTGTGAGTCCTTCCGCAGCGGTCCGTGGTGGTATACATACACCCTTTTAATTGAGATCTTTAAGCAAGTGAACCTTCCCGACTGAGGCTCTCCTGTCAACCATCAGATTTTCCTGGTCTGATATTAAATCATCTGATAGTGAACTAAGAGGGGACGGGAGTGATTTCAGCCTAGTGGTTGCTCATTAAGATGATGGGTTAACATTAGCTGTAGGAGGAGGTGTAGCAGCTTTAAAAAGTAGCTGAATTAGGATTATGCTCTTATTATATTCTTTACTAAAACTGTGATAGATGGTAAACTTACATTTGCAGGTGTTGGAGTCCAAAGTTTGTGGGTAAGGCAGAAATACAAACTACCCATGAAAATCCCCGTGGAGATTGAACATCTCTCAGATAGTGCAGCTTAGCCATTCTTTCTTCCAAGACTGGAAGAGGTGGCTACAGCTGATGCTGCTGTTCTATAAAGGAGCATCAGATTAAGGAGTTGGCTTTGGTTTAGGGAATATGTGTGAAAAATGCATACTTTAAGTACTGGAATCTTCTGCACACTTCATATACATGGTGAGAGACATGTAGAAACCATGTTAAAATGAAGAAACAAGGGATAATGAAATCCTCATCCTATGCTTTTGTCACATGCTGAGTGGAATGATTGGACAAAAGCCCTGGCATGATTTAAGCCTTGTCTTTGCCCTTGCTGAGTGCACCTGTTTGATTTGTTGAGAGGCAGTAAGCATAGGAATAAGAGCATGGGCTCTGGAGCCAGATGGCCTGAGGTCCAGCTCTGTCACTTAGTAGTTGTGTGACTCTGGTTATGCTCTGTGCCTCAGTCTCTTCATCTGTAAAATGGAGATAATAATACCCAGTGCATATGTTTGCTATTAGTGTTAGTATTGAGCTCTACTATGTGCTAAGCAGTATTCTAGGCACGGGGGTTAGCAGTGAAAAATCAGACAAAATCCCTGCCCTTAGATACTTTGCATTGTATTGAGGGTTGACGGACAGTAGAGATGTATAAACATAAATAAGGTCAGGTAGTGGTAAGTGCTGGGAAAAAAAATAAAACGTGGTTATAGGATAAGAGGGTGTTGGGGTGAGAGGGGCTGTTAGCTGAGTTTTTAAGGACAGGCTTCTCCGTTGAGGTGACATTTTAGTTGAGACTAAAATGATGTAAAGGTTCCAGCCAATAGTGTCACAGGCCAAGGGAACAAGTTCAGAAAGTCTTCATTTGTATTGGTTTATTTCTGTATTTACCTTAGAAGATTAGGATTTAAAATATAAATTCACCTTTGTTAATAATGTTATTTCCTATTATGAAAAACACTTCCTCCCTGATCTTTGAGGATATCACTTTTATTTTCCTGATTGTTAGTAATGAGTTTCTGTTCTCAATTTGTTTTTATGGTTTTTCTTCCTCCAAAAGTTTCATTAGGATCATATCTTTATTTATGCTGTAGTAAAAAAATGACAGATTTAGAAAAATTACTTTAAAAATCAATGTGAATTAGCTTATCTTGTAGGTATATTTTAAAGTCTCTTATGTTTTATTTAAGTAAATGAATTATAGTTAGTGATTTAAATATCTTTTTTCATAGTTAATCCTGAAAGAAGTTGACTCACTGTTGTATGTCGACACTGATATCCTTTTTTTACGACCCATTGATGATATTTGGTCTTTACTAAAGAAATTTAATTCCACACAAATTGCTGCAATGGCACCAGAGCATGAAGAACCTCGGATAGGATGGTATAATCGCTTTGCCAGACATCCATACTACGGAAAAACTGGAGTAAACTCTGGAGTTATGCTGATGAACATGACTCGAATGAGAAGGAAGTATTTCAAGGTAAGTTGGTTAACATTTCTCTTTTTTCCTGTAAAGTGATTGACTTCCAATTTGGTTTTGTGTGATTAAAGACTTAATTGAAATGTGAAGAATTTTCCTTTATCTGGAATAATTGATGAAACGTGTGTTCTTAATATTCTGCTTAGTAGAATAATTCAGTAGATAGGTGAAACAAGATGGCATTAAAATGGAGTAAAATAACAATGCGGTAAGTAGTGAACATCATCTCCCGAGACTGTCATTCAAAGTAGTAATCATATTTTGTCACTGTGTGATGTAGCCATAAATACTTGAATCTAAAGTATGATGAATCTCGTGGGCAACAAAGAGTGCTGGTTAAGAGCATGGACCCTGAAGCCACTCGGCCTGGTTCAAACCCTGATACCTCAGTAACTCTGTTGAGGGATAAGTTTTGAATATCTCTGAGCTTCAGTTTTCTCATTTCTAAAATGGAGATGGCAACAGTACTTCTTACCTTATAGGATTTTTGTGAGGGTTAAATGAGTTAAAACAATGGCTGGCATAGTTAAGTGTTGGCTGTTTAATAACTTTGGTGCCATTGGAAGTTAACTTTAAAAAAAATTCCTGCATGTTTCTTATCTCTCATCAGTTGCTGTTTAAATTCCCAGGATACACATTCTGAATCCATGACTATGTTGTACTTTTTATCAGTTTCAGGTAGACGGTTGTAGGTGGTTAAGTTTAAGTCCCTGTGGCTCAGGAGTCAGCTGTTTGGCTTTAATTGTGTGGCTCTGCCACCTGTGCACTGTTTAACTGCTAGTCAGTCAGTTAACTTTCAAACCTCAGTTCTCTCAACTGCAAAATGGAGAGAATAAATGGACTTATCTCACATAGGTTACTAGGATTAGAAGAAATCCGTTTAAAATGCTTATCGCAGAGCCTGACACATAGTAAGCAGTTTTAAAAACAGTGACTTCTGGAACACCCACCATTGGCTTTCCCTCTAGGGATGTAGGGAGCCCTGGTGACGTAGTGGTTAAGAGCTATGACTGCTAACCAGAAGATCGGCAGTTCGAATCCACTAGCCGCTCCTTAGAAACCTTGTGGGGCAGTTCTTCTATGTCCTATAGGGTCTGCTTGAGTTGGAATCCACTTGACAGCAGTGGGTTTGGTTTTTTTTTTTTTTTTTTTTTTAATATAGACACAGACTTGCTGTTTATCTCTTTATATCTAGTTAGGACTAAATTAAACTTTAAGGAGCAGTATTTATGATGTGAGGATATGTGTACATTTGTATGTGTATATATTTGTCAGATATTTTTCTCATGGCTTCTGGTGGAACAGAATATACACCATTATTTATTACTCCTTTCAAAAAGTCTGATGAAATCTTTGCCTCATTTAGAGTTGTTCCCTATTATGTTTGTTATAGGCAGGAGTACTACCTGCAGCCAGCACCACCCATGCTGACTTTTCAGTCTTTAGAAGTCTTACAGCTTGTACCTATCATCCTTCAGTAGATCTAGTCTCTAGCCTTTCCATTTTCTGAACCGTTCCAACATCTTGATTTCAGTTCAGTTTTGTCTTTCACAGCTGAATGTGTTAATGTGACTGGTGCTGAATAACCTCTGCTTTTGCTTACCAATGAGCATGTATTTTCAGTTAGCTAATTTGTTGTTATATCTTGAATTTTTAAATTTCATGTACCATAAAGTTTTATACAACAGTTGCAATAACGTGAGTTTTCAGCATTTTCTGATTGTTAAAATGTGCACAGTAATTTTATACCAGAAGATGGTGCTGTAAGATTATCTGCTAAGGAATAATGTGACTTCTTAATAAGTCTGCATTTGTAATTCACAGAATTATGAGAACTTTAGTGTTGCAGAGGACCTTAGAGATAGTTTAGCATAGCACCATTGTTTGATTTTTTAAAAAAATTCTAAATATGGCTATACAGCTCAAATATGCCATTATTTTTTTACTTCCCCTTTACTTATATAAATGTAATTTTTAAATACTTTAACACTTTCTCCCTCTCCCCTTTTCTTTTTGCTGTGGCATGTTCAAAGCCAGCTAGAAATGTAGGTATGAGGGTTGTAGTGATTTCTGAATTTTCAAACTTTTGTTTTCTTCTGTTCATTAATGACTTTATTGAAAAAACTATGAGAGGATTGATTGTGTATTAATTTAGTAGGTATAATTTACTGCACAACTACTATCCCTTTGTTACAAACAACCTATTCTTGCCCAGTGAGAACACACTCAGATTTGCTTTGTTTTCTTTTTTTTTTTAATTGTACTTTAGATGAATGTTTACAGAGCAAATTAGTTTCTCATTAAACAATTAGTACACATACCGTTTTGTGGCATTGGTTGTCAACCCCGCAATGTGTCAGCACTCTCCCCTTCTTGACCTTGGGTTCCCTATTTCCATTCGTCCAGCTTTCCTGTCCCCTCCTGCCTTCTCGTCCTTGCCCCTGGGCTGGTGTGCCCATTTAGTCTCGTATACATGGTTGAACTATGTGTATTGTTTGTTTTATGGGCCTGTCTAATCTTTTGTGCCTTGCTTTCTTGTTGTTATATTTATAAATGCTGAGCTGTTTCTACAAAAATTATTGATTTTTAGCTCCTTTTCTCATAGATCGATCTTTATTTTTCCTGATTATTTTCCAATATATCTGTAGCAAATATTGCCGTGTTTTTTTCCTAGTATTTCTACAATTTCTGGCTCACATCTTAAATTTTAGATCTCGAGTGATATACCTGAATTACTTGTAATCACTTTCCAAACTGTTTCATACTGATCCGTGCATGCTGTCCCATTGTTCTTACCACATGAAAGGTACAAGACTACCAATTTAGGATAAAGGTCGTATTTTAAATTCTTAATTTCATTTGTTCTAAAATATAATGATTTGATATTATAAATTTTTATTCTAACCTGAGTCTTATGAAACTATACCTTTAAAACATCTTCTGAGAGCATAGGGCGAAGAAAGACAGGTTTGGTCTCTGAGATAGTGTCGCCATAATCCCTTCACCCTGCTGCTCCCATTGAAAGACTTCTTATAAAGATTTGCTTTGCTGTCACACAGTCTCTACCATTTATGACTGTTCAATTCAGACCTGATGTGTTATATGTATTAAAAAACTAAAAATAGTAAAAATTCTACTTTTGGTTCTTTATATCTCATAATACTTAATAGACAGTGATATAAAGTTGGTTAAGCTATTACTTTGTCTTGTGTATTATGATTGTATTTACAGTGTTAAATCCCTCTTAGGTTATTTCTTAACCTTTTTTTCTATTTATTAGAGAAAAACAAAAGAATGTAAATAAGGTGTCCTAAGAATTCTTTCATTGTATATTTATTGTACCCTGTTCATGTCCTGCCATATATTGCTTTCTAAAGTATTTCTTGTCTATTTCCTCCATCTGCTGAGAACAGGGTATGTCTTCTGTACAGCTTTGTATTCAGAATGTTTATCATGGTGTCCAGCATATAGTAGCAACTCAGTGGATAATTACTAGCAAAGGACAGTTTGAATGAAAGTTTCGGAAATCATGCTACTGATGAATTATTCAAAAATATTGAAAAAGAGAACATTTCGCTTGAGGTGGATATGATGGTTTTTTCACATATTTGAAACATGTATGTAATGGAGGACTTTTATTGTGTTACGTTTCGTATTTTTACGCAAATAACATGTGCCTTCTATGTTTATTTGCCAGCCGTTCGCTCTTCCTGTGAGGTATTTTTGTAAGTACTGCTATACCATTTTTTTTTACATATGGTTGTAAAAAATTAGCATAGCTTGCTTATGAAACTGCTTTGTGAGGGGAGGGAGCAGTTGGCAAACAAATGTAGGAGGCGTGCATTATTTGTGTAAAAATACAGTAGATAGCTCATGAGAGCAGGATAATATTAATGAACAGCTTACCAAAAGGGGTAGAGCTTTTCACAGTGTAATGATTAATCTTTGGGAATTGATGAGTTCCCAGTTTCTCTAACATTGTTGGAGCCTGATGTGAATACCAGCTGCCTCTGAGTCGATTGTGACCCATGGCGACTGCATGTGTCAGAGTATCATATTTTTACGCGAATAACGTCCACCTTCTACATTTGTTTGCCAACCGTGCCCACCGCGAGGTATTTTCATAAGTGCCGCTGTGCCATTTTTTTTTTTTTACATGTTGCTAGTAGAAAAGAATTAGCATCGTACACTTGCAGAAATACCCCCCAGGGGGAGGGCATGGTTGGCAAACAAATAGTAGAAGGCATGCATTACTTGTGTAAAAACATGGTAGACCTTTCTTCCGAGGAGCTTTTGGATGGACTTGAACTTCTTTTCAGCTTCCTTTCAGAATGTGTTAACTATATGCACCAGAGTATCCACCTGTAAATTGTATGTTGATGTATAGGATAGGCTGTTAATGACGAGTCCATCAGTTCTCAAAAGCAAAAATAATTCTAAAAATGAAACTAATTGCTCTTAATGCATATGCATTTTGATGATAGATTTGCTAAAATAAGTAAATTAGAACCATACTTTTCTGTTTTAAAAATTTTTTAAATGTATTCTTATAAAAAAATCAAACAATTCATAGTATATAGAGTAGAAAAACAAGTCTACCCTTTACACATCACTCTCTTCAGTCTCATCCCTTTGCCCAGAGTGACCACGATAAGCTTTGCTATATATTCCTTAGACCCTTTTAAAAATTAATTTTGAAAACAGGTATATATATTAGCACTTATATGTATGATTCTTTTACACATCTTCAGCCTGCTTTTTTCACTTTATAAATATATAGTTAGCTGATTTTTATGTCAGTACACATAATCTACCACAGTATTTTTAATGTTTGTATGATATTGTGGAGAATGGATAATTTGATTTTATTATTTGTATGTACTAGTATGGATGTGTAGTTATACGGCTGAAAAATATTTCATATTTTACTTTGTATTTTCTTGACTATATTCTAATGGTTGAAAATCTTTTTATATATTTAGTAGCCGTTTCTCTTTCCTCTTTTTTGAATGGTTTTCCATATCCTTTGCCCATGTCTCTGTTTGGTTGCTTTTCTGCTGCTTATTGACTTGAAATATTCTATATAATGCCTCTTTATTAAACTATTTTCTCTTTTTCACTGGTTGTCTTGGATTTTCTAGATTATATCATTAGCAAATAATACCAGTGTTATTGCTTCTTGTCCAGTATTTTTCTAGTAGGGCTTTCCTTTAAGTTATATAAGTTTTTTTCTCTTTTTTTTCTTATGGCAGCATCGGACCTTGTAATTTGATCATTCATTGCTTTTTCTTTGAATAGATATATTTTGATGAAGACTTGAACATAGTCAGGGCTCCACTGAATAAGGGACCTCACCAGTTCTATGTGTTGAATGTGTTGCTGGTCTTTGTGTACAATTTAAATTTTCCTTTTCAGATCCTAAGAACATTTAGTTAACATGCTCAGTGACTTAATTCAAAGAGTCATTATCCAATAAAGTGTTTTCTTATTATTAAGTAAACCTTGGGTCAAGGAGCCTTGGTGGTTCAGTGGTTAAGTGCTCTGCTGCTAACCAAAAGTTGGCTGTTCGAACCCACCAGCCACTCTGTGGGAGGAAGATGTGATGGTCTGCTTGCATAAAGATCACAGCCTTGGAAACCGTATGGGGCAGTTCTACTCTGTCTTACAGGGTATGAGTTGTAATCGACTCGACAGCACACAACAATAGCAACAAAACCTGGTTCAGTTATTTTCCAGAATTTTTGTTAACTGTTGTTGTTATTTCTGATTATTTTATAATTACTGTGTTGTTTATTCCATTCTGAGAAATTTTACCCAAGAGTAATACAATTATGTTGTTGTTGTTAGGTGCCATTGAGTGGATTTTTACTCATAACGACAATGTGACAGAGTAGAACTGCCCTACACATAAGATTTTCTAGGCTATAATCTTTATGGGAGCAGATTGCCAGGTCTTTCGTCCGTGGAGCCACTGGGTGGGTTCAAACTGCCAAGCTTGTTTTTAATTTCCAATCTGTCATGAGTCAATACTGTTAGAAAACATGAAATTACTAGAAAATATCTTAAACAGGTGTAAAATTAATCTGTTGAAATGCTTGAAAAGTTTTGAAATCCTCATAATTTCCATGCTTGATTTTGCTAAGGACTGATAAAAAAATTCATGGGTTGGCACACTCTGGGAAGCACTGAGTGGCTCTGGTTTATAGTCTTGATAGTTTAAAGCATCACATAGGTCTACAGGTCTTATAATATATTCAACTCCACTCCTTCTCACCCCAGATTTGCATTATCCAGACAGTATTTGACTTTATGTTTTTAAATAACAAGCTATAAGCATCTCCATAGATACTTAAAAGGCACCTGGTGAACTTCAGTATCCATTTTTGATCATGAAAGAAGCATAAATACAAATTAGTGGGTCATTAATTAATATAACATGTTTATTTCAGCTCTGAAGGTAGCATTGTGCTTAAAGGGGAAACAGTAGAAGCATTCAAATTAAAACAAGACAAGGCTGTCTCTTGCCATAGTTATTATATAATATCAGTGGTTCTCAGTGTGGAGGGATAACAAGCCCCCAAATTAGACAAGTGAAAGAAATAACAGATACTAAAATTAGATAGCAGGAGATAAAATTATCATTATGTATGATTGACATGTCTCTATACCTGGAAAACTCAAAAGAATCTGTTGAAAACTACAATAAACAGTAAGAATATATGTTAATGTGGCTGAGTAAAAAATTGCAGTTATCATTACTAAGGAGGGACAAACCAGTTTGTCAGCTGGCTTACCCCAGGAGTTCTTTCTTTAGTAGCATTGTAGGGCCTTCTGCTGAAAACAGTGTTGGTCTGCAAACTTCCCAGGTAACTGACACCCAAGTATATGACGGTCCTCTTGCTAGCAAGGTTGTGATTCTGAATAGCAAAGCTTGAAATCTTCAGAATGGGTTGGATGAACCCCTCCCTCCTCTCAACCTTGTATAAGTATGAGTGGCAGCAGGGGATCAGGGTCCCTTTCCTGGACCACAACCTACAATGCTTCCAACCATGCTCGGCCCAAACTCACCTTTCTGTGGGATGATGAGAGTTTGTGGGACTGCATACATCCTGGTAAGCTTGACCCAGTAATTTTCCCTAACTTTGCCTCTTTATGGAGTCCCTTGTTTGAATTTTATAATGTGCAAATGGCAACTCTTTAGAAGATATAATGGAAGACCAGAGTTAAAATATTAACAAAACAGGTAATATACCTAGGAACAGACTTCAAAGAAATTGGCAAGATATATATGAAAAAATCTTTGAAATGTTAATGAGAGGACATATGAAGACTTTAAAGGCATGCCATGTTTCTGGATAGGTAAATCCAACATTATAAAGAGGCCAGTTCTCCGTGAGAATTATGTACTGTAAACAGACACAAAATAAATGCATTTCTACTTACGTACTCTTCGTTCTCCCCTCTGTCCCTCTATGACCTGGTTTTTGCCTAGCATACTGTTTTTTGTTTACCTTTATATGTATAGATCTTTTTTACTTGATTATCAATTTCAGATGATCCCTTTAGACCACCAATTATAATAGATTAGCAAATCAGTCTAAGAATAATAGTGATGGTGGTGACAGTAATTAGCACTGAGTATGTACCATATAAGGAGCCATGGTGGCAGACTGGTTAAATGCTCACCTGCTAACTGAAAGGTTAGTGGTTCAAACCCACCATCCGCTCCTCGGGAGAAAGATGTGGCAGTCTGCTTTTGTAAAGATTTCCAGCCTTGGAAACCCTATAGGACAGTTCTGCTCTGTCCTGTAGGGTCGCTATGAGTTGGAATCGACTCGATGGCAGTGGGATGTACCATATAAGGACCCCTAGTAGCACAATGGTAAAGCACTCAGCTGCTAGCCAAAAGGTCAATGGTTTGAACCCCCAGGTGGCCCTGCGGGAGAAAAGACCTGGAAATCTGCTCCCTTGGAGATTACAGCCTAGGACACCCTATGGGGCAGTTGTGCTGTGTCAGTCACATAGGGTCACTATGAGAATTGACTTGACGCGGTACAACAACAGCAACATGTAGCATGTATCAGGTACTGCTTTAAACACTATTTATACATTAACAGGTTTAATATTTAAATCTGACATAACTCGCAACCCAACCCGTTGCCGTCGAGTTGATTCCGACTCATAGCAACCCTTATACGACAGTTTGAACTGCCCCATAGGGTTTCCAAGAAGCAGCTGGTGGATTCGAACTGCCGACCTTTTGGTTAGCAGCTGTAGCTCTTAACCTCTGTACCAGGAGGGCTCCTTAACTACAATTTTGTTGTTGTTGTTAGGTGCCATTGAGTTGGTTCCGACTCATAGCAACCCTGCAGGACAGAGTAGAGCTGTCCTATAGGGTTTTCAGGGAGCAGATGGTGGATTCAAACTGCTGACCTTTTGGTTAGCAGCCATAGCCCTTAACCACTGTGCCACCAGGGCCTCTTAACTCTGACATGTTGTCGGGGCAGTCAAGTTGGTTCCGACTCATAGAGACTCTATAGGACAGAGTAGAATTGGCCCATAGGGTTTCCAAGGAGTGGCTGATGGATTTGAACTATTGACCTTTTGGGTAGCAGCTGAGCTCTTAACCACTACACCAGAGATGTCACGGCCATAGTGCTTCACTACCTCTGATTTCACGTCCCTTTCTCTCCTGACTTCTATTAGTTGCATCACTTCTGCCTGTGGTTGCAGGTGTCTTCTTTTGGTGTCTTTCCCGCTCCTACTGGACAGGCTTCCTCATATGTAGGGTCACATGTGTCCGGTTTTCTAACAAAAGGAATTGCACGGTGATTGTTAAGGGACCAATGGGGACCTGCCTTTATGCTGCCATTTTAAACCTGGAAGTCTGTGAATCATTTTATTGTATTTTTCAACAGAATGATATGACAGCTGCACGCCTGCGATGGGGAGATATGCTCATGCCATTGCTTAAAAAATACAAACTGAACATCACGTGGGGCGACCAAGATTTACTGAATATCATATTTTTTCATAATCCAGGTAATCATTTATTTTCCTTTTATCCTCTGCATTAAAAAAATGACAAACAGTATTTAGTCAGAAATGAAGAAGCACTTTTTGGTTTTGGCATGTATTAATTGTCACCATTCATGTTTAAGATAGAATAAAACCTTTCCTGAATGTGATTTAGTTGGAAGAGATTTAAATGCCAAGCATCATTTTCATTATTTTGGCAAAATGTTATTTCTGAGGAATTAAAAGAATTTGCTTCATTTTTTTCTCTTTCTTTACATAGAAAGCCTCTTTGTTTTTCCATGTCAATGGAATTATCGACCAGATCATTGTATATATGGAAGCAATTGCCAAGAAGCAGAAGAAGAAGGAATCTTTATTCTTCATGGGAACAGAGGTGTTTACCATGATGATAAGCAACCAGCATTTAGAGCTGTTTATGAAGCACTGAGAAATGTAAGCGTTTGCTTTTTTTATGTTTTACACCTTTTATTTGGAAATACTTGCAAGCCTTCAGAGAACTTGAAAGAATAGTACAAAGAATTTGCAAGTATCATCTACCTAGGTTCATCAGTTACTAACATTTTATACTATTCGCATTATTTCTGATTCTCAGTGTATATACACACGTTGTTTTCTTTTTCCTGGATCATTGGAGTGTAATTTGCATCCTTCATGCCCTTTTACCCCTAAAAACTTCAGTGTCTCCTAAGAACAGGGGCATTCTTTTCTTAACCACAGTATGGATATCAACCATGGGAAATTTAATGTTGATAACAGTACTTTAATCTACCGTCCATGTCTTTTTAGTCTCCTTTGATCTAGAATGGTTTCTTAGCCTTTCTTTGTCTTTTATAACATTGACATTTTTGGGCAATAGTGGCCCCCCTCCCTTTTTGTTCTTTATTCTGGCTTGTTTGATGTTGCCTTACGATTGGGCTCATGTTATGCATTCCTGGTCGGAATACTGTATCAGTGATGGTGTGTCTCTCTCTGGGTATCACGTTCATAGGTACCTTGTGTATCTGCCCCTCAGTGGTGGTGATGATTTTGAGCTCCCAGTCAAAATGTTATCTAATTTCCCCACTGTATAGTTATTTTTCCTCTCGTAAGCAGTCTGTGGGGAGACTCTTCAACACCATGCAAATATCCTGCACCTCATCAGAATTTCCCTCCTAGATTTAGCGTCCGTTGATAATTCTTGCTAAACCCAGTCTTTACTATGGTAGTTGCAAATTGAAGACCGTCCAACTCTAGAACCTCACATATATCATTTGGCACTCAGTATTCTACTGTAAGGAAGAGCCCTTCATTCTTGCCGATATATGTATCTGTTACCGGTTTGAACTCATTGCTGTATTTTTGTTTATGATTTTTAATTCATTCTCTTTTAATTATGGTGATGCTAAAGTTGTTCCCAATTTGGCCAGGGGGAGCCCCTTTTGACTACCTTTTGTGCCCTTTTGACATGTCCCTATCATTCTTTTGGAGTATTTCCTTACTTTCTTTCTGAGCAATATGTTCTAAACTCATCTTGTACCTTCCCTACCCTAGCCCTTAAGTCAGCCATTTCTCCAGAGAGCCTTGGTTCCTTTCAGTAGACTCTAAGTGGTAGATGTGCTTATTGCTACGAGAGTGATTTTACTTCTAGGGCTGTTCAGGGACAGAGCTAGGAAATAATAAACACACATACATAAAATCATGTGTTTACCCTGAGGCCTCCAGTTTCAGTCTGTCTTTCTAGCCTTCTGCTCCTCTGTGTTTTTCTCTCCTTTTCTTCTACAGTTAGAATCCTACCATAAACATTTCCTCATTTACTTAATCCTAAAATACACTTAAAATAATTCCAGAAATTCTTCATTCATATCATTATCTCCTATCCGTTTCTCCTTCCGATTAACCACAATTTGGTAGTAAGAATTCAGGATTTGCTTCCAGTTCTTGCCCTCTCTCCTCCCTTGCCCCAAGACTGAGGGTGTATACTCAATACTGTGTTCAGAAATTACTTTGATTAGTTGTTTTTTTCTCCTTCCCTTCAATGTGGTTATTTTATTCATTTGAAATATAAATGGGTTCATTTCTTTCAGTAGGCTTTTAGCTTTATTTGTTTCTTCTTTCTTTTCTTGTTGATTTAATTTTATTTTTTGAATACGTACAATATTAAAAGCAGAGTCCCTGGGTGGTGCAAAATGATGAAGCACTTCACTACTAGCCAAAAGGTTGGCAGTTCGAACCCACCCAGAGGCACCTCGGAAGACGAACCGGTAGATTTGCTTCTGAAATGTAAGGCTTGAAAACTCTGTGGAGCAGTTCTCTGCACACGTGGGGTTACCACGAGTCAGAATCCACTCAGCAGCAACTAACAACAACAACAGAATATTAATATACTTTAAAAAGTCAAAACCATGTAATGGTTCACACAGAAGTGTTGCTGCTTCCCCTATCCTTTCCACTGCACCCCTCCTCCCTGGCCTGTAGGGTACCAACTGCATTGTTTTCTGGTTGTTGTCCTTCCTGTGTTTCTTACTGTAACATGAGCAGGTAGATGCATTATTTGTAATTTTTCTTTTCTTACACAAAATATACTGTATGTATTCTTTTGCTCTTTGCTTTTTGCACTTAAAATATTCTAGAAATCCATGTGTTTATAGATAGCTCATCTTTACTGCTGTGTGATGATTTTGTGGTGTACCAGCATTTATTCAACCAGTCTCTTTGTGTTTGGACATTTCAGTAGTTTCCAATATTTTGAATTATCAATGATGCTGCAATGAGTAACTTTGCTATATGTATTTTCAGAGACGTATCTTTGGGTTAGGAATCCCTAGGTGGTGCAAATGGTTAAGTGCTGGACTGTTAAGTGAAAGGTTGGCGGTTCAAACCCACCCAGAGGTGTCAAGAAGAAAGGTGTGGCAATCTGCTTTCGCAAGGTTGAAGCCATGAAAACCCTGCAGAGGGCAGTTCCACTCTGAAACACATAGGTCGCCATGAGGCGGAATCAACTCATGGCAACTGTCTTTTGTTTGTTTTAGGGTAGATTTCTAGAAGTGGGCCTATTGGGTAAATGCTTATGTAGTTTCCCTTACGTAGGAATTGTGCCATTTTGCATTCCTGCCAACAATTTATTAGAAGGCCTATTTCCCACAGCCTTACCAATCTGATGGGTGAGAAATGGAATCTTAGTGTAGTTTTGATTTGCATTCCTGTTATTAAGAGTGAACTTGAACATCTTTTTGTATATTTAAGGGGCATTTTAATATCTTTTTGGTGAATTTTCTTTAAAGTCTTTTGCCTGTTCTTTCATAAACCAAAACCAATTCCCACTGAGTCCGTTCCGACCCATGGCGATCCTGTGTGTGTCAGAGTAGAGCCATGCTTCATAGGGTTTTCAGTGGCTGATTTTTCAGAAGTAGAGGGCCAGACCTTTCTTCTGAGGCACCTCTGGGTAGATTTGAAAATAACCACCTTATTGAGATATAATTTATACAGCACAGAGTTCACTCATTTTGAAAGCATACGATTCAGTGGTTTTTAGTATATTTACAGAGTTGTGCAGCCATAACCATGAGACATTTTTGGTCTTTGTTATCCCCACCTTAATTTTCAAAAGTTCTTTGTATATTAGAAATATTAGTTCTTTACACTTACACACTGTTGGTGGGAATGTAAAATGGTACAACCACTTTGGAAATCGATTTGGCGCTCCCTTAAAAAGCTAGAAATAAAAGTACCATACGATCCAGCAATCCCGCTCCTTGGAATGTATTCTAGAGAAATAAGAGCCATTGCGCGAATAGATATATGCACACCCATGTTCATGGCAGCACTGTGCATGATAGCAAAAAGATGGACGAATGGATAAACAAATTATGGTATATTCACACAATGGAATACTATGCAACGATAAAGAACAACGATGAAGCCGTGAAACATCTTATAACATGGAGGAATCTGGAGGGCATTATGCTGAGTGAATTTAGTCAGTCACAGAAGGACAAATACTGTATAAGACCACGATTGTAAGAACTCAAGAAAAGGTTGAAACACAGAAGAAAACATTCTTTGATGGTTATGAGGGTGGGGAGGGAAGGTGAGGGTTATTCACTAACTAGACAGTAGGCAAGAATTACCTTAGGTGAAGGGAAGGACAGCACACACTACAGGGGAAGTCAGCACAACTGGACTGTCATGGTTTGAATTATGTCCCCCCAAAAATGTGTGTATCAGTTTGGCTGGGCCATGATTCCTGGTACTGTGTGATTTTCCTATATGTTGTAAATCCTGCCTCTATGATGTAAGTGAGGGAAGATGGGTGGCAGTTGTGTTAGTAAGGCAGGACTGGATCTACAAGAGTGGATTGTGTCCTGAGGCAATTTCTTGAGATATAAAAGAGAGAAGTGAGCAGTGAGACAACGGGACCTCATACTATCAAGAAAGCAGTGCCGGGAGCAGAGTGCTTCCTTTGGACCGAGGTTCCTGCACAAAGAAGCTCCTAGTCCAGGAGAACACCAAAGAGAAGGCCGACAGAGAGAAAAACCCTTCCCCTGGAGCTGACGCCCTGAATTTGGACTTTTAGCCTACTCTGACTGTGAGGAAATAAATTTCTCTTCGTTAAAACCATCCACTTGTGGTATTTCTGTTACAGCAGCACTAGATGACTAAGACATGGACTAAACCAAAGCTAAGAAGTTTCCTGAATACAGCCAAACACCTTGAGGGATAGAGTAGCAGGGGCAAGGTTGTGGAGACCCTGCTTTCAGGGGACATCTAGGTCAATTGGCATAACAAAGTTTATTAAGAAAATGTTCTGCATCCCACTTTGGTGAGTGGTGTTTGGGGTCTTAAAAGCTAGCAAGCAGCCATCTAAGATGCATCAATTGGTCCCAGCCACCTGGAGTAAAGGAGAGTGAAGAACACCGAAGACACGAGGAAAGCATTAACCCAAGAGACAGACAGGGCCACATAGACCAGACACTTTGTCAGCCTGAGACCAGAAGAACTAGATGGTGCCTGGCTACCACAGTGACCACCCTGACAGGGAACACAACAGAGTCCCTGATGGAACAGGAGAAAGGTGGGATGCAGAACTCATATTCTAGTAAAAAGACCAGACTAAATGATCTGACTGAGACTGCAGGATCCCCAGAAGACACGGCCCCCGGACTCTGTCAACCCAGAACTAAAACCATTCCCAAGGCCAACTCTTCAGATGAAGAAGATTAGAGTGGACTGTAGGACATAAAATGATACTCGTGAAGAGCGTGCTTCTTAGCTCAAGTAGATACGTGAGACTAAATGGGCAGCTCCTGTCTGGAGGTGAGATGAGAGGGCAGAGAGGGTTAGGAGCTGGTTGAATGGACACGGGAAATTGGGTGGAAGGTGGGTGGGTGTTGTCACAGTATAGGGAGGGCAATTGGGGTTGCATAATAATGTTTAAGTTTTTGTATGAGAGACTA